CTTTATTGTTCTGTATGTTTTAAAAGGGTTTGAATCATTTTTTAATTGTAATAATATAATCTTTTAAGTGATTTTAATACAGGGATAGAATCTTGAAGGTTTGGCTACAGAGTATATTCATATGCAGTACATTTATTTCTATGAATAATAGATTAGAAGTTGCAAATTTATTTATGCATTTTTTTAGAAGGGGATACTGTCTGTATTGTGTGTGCATCTGCACGTGGAAGTCAGATAAGGACAAAATAATTGGCTGTGATGCCTTCAGCGTTACACTGTTTACCACTTGGCCAAGGTGCTGGGATGCTGACACCCATGGAAAAATAGTACTACTCACATCAGTTCCTTTAGGAAAGCAGGAAATTCTGGATGGTCTGGTACCTCTGCAGGGTGGAACTGGGGGGACCAGCAATCAGGGCGCTGGAAAAGTCGAGTATGGAGGTAGGAGAATTAGATTGGTTATTGTTCTGCTTCCATTTCAAAGTTGTATTTTAATTGTGTTTTAGTTACGTGAACTGAAAACTTACAAAAAGTTATCCAAGTTACTGTATTTTGCACCACTGAAGCAAATGTAAACGTTTTGGCTTGAAACAGATATATTTTATCACAAACTAACCCTATGCTCTGCTATTTTCCAGTTTTAAATAATCGAGTACAGTTATAGAGTACTTTACTAAAATAACAAGAATACTTTGGTCCAGTGGATCATTGTGCAAATTTATGTTTGCATTATTTTGCTAATATTACACTGCACAAGCGGGCAGACTATGATAGCTTGGACAATATTTCTGATGAGCTGTTTTAGCAAATTAACTGCAAAAGTATTTAGTTTAATCTTATGTTTATCTTCAAAATTTCCCACAAAGGCAGCGGATGTAAGTTCCACGCAGATGCAAAGGCATTTGCATTCATGGTAAGCAACACATTTGTAATGGCTCCAGTCTGGCTCTCATCATAATCAGTCAGGACGGCTTACAAGTATGGTTTTAATGCAGATTGTTTTGACATGTTGCTTGCTTAGTTTCCACCTCTCTTTTCCAAAAAGGAATTAACAGCTGTACAAACATTGAAATGTGGAGGGTGGGGGAGGAGAGGTGAAGTGTGTGTCCTTTTCTATATAATACCTCATATTTCATTATTCTGGCACTTTGAAAATCATTGTTGGTAACAGTTATCTGCAAATATTTCAGGACAAAGAGAAAAACGATATGCAGAGAATCCCCACTGAGCAAGATGCTGCCAACTAAAAGGGCCCTTGCAAATATTGAGCCTGGGTCGAAATCTGTCTTTCAATACAGTTCAAAAAAGCTCTCAAAATGAGTCTAGGAAGAGAAGATAATGGGGCCAATTGCCAATCCCGTGCCCAGAACCACATTTCTCATCACCAATCATTAGCGAGCACTTTATAGCAGCTAACAGAGTAGGTAACGTTTCAAGAGATGCAAGGTTGTCACCATGTTCAGGGAAGGTGCAATGGGAAAGGTGGAGGTTAGGGAGAAGGCACCATTTCTGTATATCTTTAAAAAATCAGTGCACGATTGAGCTTAGTAACATTAAAAAGAGTAAACAGTCTGGCTTCTAACCTCAGGCATTTTGCCAGGCAACAAGGCAAATATCAACGTACAACAAAGGTGGGGGAATATTAAAGGTTTGCTGAAAACGTCCGTTCTTCCCCTACATACATTCCTACTTAATCAAAATGCAATCTTAGCAGCTCGTTTTAATTTACTTTGCAGCTTTTTTGGAATAAGCAAGTGACAACTAAATGAGGTGTTTTTGAGGCAGACTCCAGAAGAACTTTGCTCCGAGAATTCTAATGCTCTATTATTTCGACTGTTGCTTCAGTGAGGTTTCAACACAAATCCAATGAAATGTTATAGTTGGACATTGTCTGCAACACACAGATGTCGTTGCTCTTCTAGTTGCATGGTCGTGGATGTACCCCTTTGAAAGGTCTTTTTAACTCAGAAACCACTTTTACTATGGTGCAAAATGAATTTATATAAATTTCTAGTCATGAATATTCGAGTTGGGGACCGGTGCACAATTTAAAATGCAAACAGTCCGCTGCAAGTAGGTCTACAGAAACCTCAGTCCCGCTCTTCAAAGTATAATTGTATTCTGCTGTTGTAAAAGGTTCTCAAGCGTCATGTTCTGGAATGAATTTAGCAATCATATCACCAATGGATCTGAACTTTTAATCTCCAAGTGCTTCTCGCTAATTAGACTCCAAATGTCAACACCTGTTACATGCATCAAGAGAATAAATGTAATCTGTGTGTTATCATTCTGAACAATGTATTGAACTGACTAACGTTATTATTGCCAATGTACTTCATGATATTGGTGCATGGGTGTTTCCGGTCAAGCCATCAAGGCATTCTGCAAAAGTAAAGCAACACCAAATAGTAGATATCCAATTACATTAGCTTTGCCTCATTGCTAATTGATTCCTGCTTCCAAGTATAATACAAAACATGCTGAAAGGAAAAGAGACGTCTAGGTTTGATAAAGGATATTTTGGCAAGAAGTCAACAAACAAAGACAAGTCCATTAGTTTGATTTGGGGCTCTTAATCAATCCAGTAGCTGAAGATGATTTAAACAAGAGAATATAAATTTTTGAAAACTGGTCAGACTTGCCATTAGAAATACGTCAACAAAAAATGACACTGATGTTTTGGATCCATGCTGTCAGAAAATGTTGTGACCAAATTAATCATTAAATGCTGTCCTTTGGGTTTTTTCAAGTAAACCACCAGAATCTGTGAAATCACTGAGTCATTTGATATTCCAAGACTGAATGCATAAGTACCCAGTCAGACACCAACCAGGTTTAAATAGGCTGAATAATATTTAAAATATTTCACTTGTTCAATAAAAAAATCAAAATTATTCATTATTTAAATTCCAGCACATGCTCCTCTGAGGATGATCTGAGTACAGAAAATAGAATCGTCAGACATGGCCCATAATATTAAAATAAAGGTAATGGGGTCTTCCAAATGAAATAATTGCTGATAGGATTATAGAAATCTTAGACTGCTTTATTACATTGGAATAGTGCAGGACACAGGGTTAACTCGGAACATAAACACCACTGTATTTGGTAACACAAAAGTGGAGAGCATAGTATGTGTTGGAAGATACTATTGATCTGATTGGGCTATAGTTGGCTGTTCTTTCCCAGTTAAGTGATATTGTGCTTCATCTGATGGATCAGTTGGTTTATCTGGTGAACAGCTGAGACATACAGACTGGGAAGGCCTCAGGATCCATTTCAGGGCTGTGCTGAGTAAGCTGATTTGAGCAAAAGCAGCAGCAATTGGTGCTGCAATTGTTAGCCCAGATAAGGGACGTGGGGGTGTGGAATATCAGGTAGCAATGCTGCTGATTGCTATCTATCTAGCCATTCCTGTTGACAATGTATGGATTTTGGCTGAAGATAGGATAAGGGTCAGATGTGATGACCTTCTCAAGTCAGCCTTGAAGTCGAATAGCAAGGCAAAACTCAAAAGGCTCTCAGATAGAAATAAAGGAAAAGGAGGGAGAAGTGAAAATTGGCAAGGAAAGTAATATAATGCTTAAAATAAATGTAAAAAAAATCAGCAGAGCAATCAGAATAAAACATAGCCTGAGGTATCTGGAATGTGAAACTCATTCCGGATAATTTCCAAAAAGATTAATGCAGTGAAACCACCTATACTCATTTAAAGCAGCAGGACATTAAAACTTACCAATTGGGTCAAAGATTGAACGACTTATTGTATTCTATTGCTTGAACAATTATCTGGCAGTCATGTCAAGCTGCTGCTCATCAGAAATAACCACTAATTATAGAATGGTTCTTCAGAAAGCATTCTCCTTAAGGGATTACAACCTATTTTAAGGGTTTGTTTATGATTTTTGGTCTATTTGCACATGCCTCCATTTCTGTTAACAGCACCACTATGAATCTTGCATTCTTAGCCCAAAACTAATGACAACATGATGAGTTGAGGCTCAGAATCACCTTTCAAATAGTCGATCAGGTCAGTTCGTATGGAATCCAGATGAGAAAGTAAAAACTCTGTTGAATGCATGGATTTCTGGGTCCCAACAGTCATCTAAATCTCAGCCAAGTGATTTGACTGCACGTTTCACCACAGACAATGAGTGTTGTAGGCTTTTAAGATGTAGGAGCATCATAGCTAAACCAATTCCTTTCCTCAACCATCCACACATCAATTTCCCAAAAGCAGGGGGCACTGAACGGCGAAAAGGAGCAGGAATTTCTGGGTTTGTAATTCCTCTCCCCAGCCAGGAACACTGAGGTCAACAACAGTTGCCCATGAATATCCCAAATAATATGATCTACAGCAAAGAAAAAAGGTAAAAACTGGAGCTTTCCTGGTTTCGCTGTCTCACCAAGTGCATGTGCACACCACGGGGTACATTGACCAACTGAGCTTCAGACGAACAATTTCTTTGTTTTAAATTAACTTGTTGCTTTGTTCTGCAGGAGATTAACAGGAGAATCAATCCAAAGTCTATTTCACTACTGACAGACCAGAGCACAATGCTGCTTTTTGTGCTGGAAATCATGCATCTGCAAACAAATAAGTACTTTTCCTTCTTAATAGATTGTAATTTTTTCACACAAGTCTAATTTGGCAGCTGCCAAAGTTCAACAACACAAGCTGCACTGCTTGTGAACCACCACTTTGAACCACTGGAACAGCAGCACCATCAGCTGCTACAACTCCACCCTCATGTCTATACCCTCTCAGTGCTGCAGTGAATTATGTCTGATTGAATTGAACAATCTACAAAGTGCTTTGGGACGTCCTCCCGACGTGAAAGGCGCAATACAAACATAATGTTTTGACGTTGTTCATGTCTATATTTAATGCCAATTTAACACAGTGACTTTAACCTTCTTTGTTAATTCCAAAGACTATACAGTTCCTTGGGGAGGACAAATCCAGAACGATGAGCAGAATGTCTCTCTTTGGTTCTTACCTTCAGCTGCACTAAGTGCACATCGACATGCCTATTGTCAGAATCTTGCTGTACGGAATAGGTAAGGTCTCGAACACGCTCTGATGTCATGCGGAGCCAGGTTTCTATCTCTGGCAGATGAAGAACCACCTTCCAGTCTGCCCCTGTGTGAAGTGGAGGAGGCTTCTCATAGCGCTGGCTGGAGTCAAGCGTCTTCAAGCTTCCATTACCCTCGGGCTCTTCCACTGGGGTCATGTTCGTTACCATAGGAGATGTGTCAGTTGCCATGGGATCCAGCTCCTGCCTCCTCACAGGAGACAGTAAAATGCTCATCGTTATCTCTTAAATCCACGCTGCAATTTTTTTGGGTTTAGCTGGAGAGAAATACACAAAAATAAACTCTAAGACACAAAAATTATTATTTGTTTCAATAAGTAGAGTGGTGACAAAAAATACAAACTCATCTGATTTCGATCTTGTGAGATCCGTTACTTTCAGTTCTGTAATAAGTTTTTATTCTCTTAATGTCACACGATCATTAGAGTTATGCATTATAAAGGCCCATCAGCTGACAGGACCTGAGCAGCTCTTTCTTAATGGATATAATTCTTACTCATGCATGCTGCGTTGCAGGTAATTCAGAGTCCCTTACAACAACAAGATTCCATTTATAGAGCGCCTTTCACATCGGGAGGACGTCCCAAGGCGCTGGACAGTTGGGTCGGGACCCGCTCAGGGGGGGGAAGTGGTCAGGGTGAGGGGAGGAAAGGGAGGGAGCGAGGAGGGGGTAGAGAGTCGAGAGGGGAGCTGAAGGCACGGTCAAAGAGAAAGGTTTTGAGACCGCCCTTGAAGGAGGAAAGGGAGGAAGCAAGGTGAAGGCACTGGGGGATGGAGTTCCAGCACTGCTTTAACCCCAGCAAAGTATCCCAGTGAAGACAATGCTAAGCATTTTAGAACAATATTGGGTTTTTTTCTTGAATATTTCTTGACTTTATTGGGGGGGGATTATCATTGTGCTTTAAACCTGCACCTATAAGGAATATGGAAGCCCATTCAGAATAGCAGCCTCTCCAACCATACAATACAACAAAATACAAAAATTACATCTGTAAAGCACCTTGGGACAGGAAGGGTGGAAGCCTGCGCAGGGTTGGTAGCCGAAGGCAAGGCGGAAGAGACCTGAATGCCGATGGTGGGGCGGGCCAGGCAGGGGATGTGGAGCAGACTCGGGGGCCTGCTGAGCGGAGGGAGCGGACAGGTAGATAAAGGGTTAGCAGGTCACATAGGTTGGAAGTGGCAAGGCCGTAGAGGGCCTTGAAGGTGAGGACGAAGATTAACACTTTTTTAAGAATCCCAAACAATCATCTTTATCTAATAACTCATTCTTGTCCTGACTGATTGATCCTTGCCTCTTAGCCTCAATGTTATTGGCTTGCAAACTTACCTGAGTTATCCCTGGTTATCAGTGTGATTTGTCGCCTGGGACTCTTTTCGTTGGCTTAGATTCCAGAGCTTCCTTCTGCCGTCTTCTCAGTACAGCTTGCCACGTCGCTGTTGGTGTCTCTCTATCTGCAACTGAAAGAAAAATACATAACTTAAGATTATGATGGCCTTAAAATGCTAAAATCACTATTTTGAGGCTGGCAACATTCATTGTACTGTTGGTTAGCCGATGAGGAACACAAGATGGAGAATATACTACAGACTGATTGACTCGCTCTGCTTCTTCCCATCTTTATTGCATTGCTTGCTAACCTTTTTCACTCTCCAACCTCTTAAGTTCAAATCCCACCTCTTTTGCTCTCTCTCACATTGCATTGCCTCCAATCTCATTCATTCTCATTTGAATTTCTCAAATATTCAATAATTTATTAGGTTTCCATCCATATCACCTGCTCTCCATTCTTCAATAGCTCTATTTAGTTGCCTACTCATCTCTTTAATTGTCTTCATCTTGCTCATTTACACTTGTACTAAATAGATACCAGGTCCCACACTCCCTTCCTGTTTTGGGCAGAAACATTGTCAATAAAAGGAAAATAAACTACAGGGGCTTGAAAAAATTATCATATGCTGCAGCCAATGCTGCCACACGGAAAGCACAGCAATACAACACACATTACAGTCTTCCTTTTCTTATTCTCATTGAAATGGCTAGCTTTTATTTTAAAATAGCTTTGAAATAAAATACAGGTACAGTCAAGGTTTACTGAAGCATTTATTCACAGCATCTCCTGGCTAAAATTGCAGACAACAGAATGTTACATAGCAAAGAGAGGTTCAGATGAACAAGGCCCTTCAGCCCATTTGATCTCAGCCTTCCAGAATACCCACCCTACCGCCTTCCCATCACAACATTAACAACAACAAGATTACATTTTGTATAGCGCCTTTCAAGTCGGGAGGACATCCCAAGCCTCAACCATCTTCCTTGGTAACCTGTTCCAGTTATTAATTACTATTTGGGTAAAAAAATATTTCCTGGCATCTGTCTTGAAATTGCTCATTGTACTGCTCAACCTTTGTCCTCTAATTTGGTCATTTCTCCCCTGTTACCCTCAACCCCACCCCTCCCAAATCCCACACCTCGCTCAGTACAAACCCTCAACTGTCCAGCATCTTGGAACGTTCTCCAAAAGTGAAAGGTGCTATATAAATGCAATTTGTTGGTGGTGGTGTTGTGGGGCAAACAAAAATTATTTCTTCTTTATCCAACCAGAAGAAAAAGTGTTTAAATATTGAAGGGTGGCTCGACAGTCATCTCACAGTCTCCATGGCTCATGTTATGGTTTCTTGCAGTGAGCCAAGACAAGCTGAATGTCCAGAGAGAATAATGGGCTCTTTAAAGGAACCAGATGAAAGAAGTACATAGCCTTCTATCTTTTCAGTATTATAGTTTTAAATATAACATTATAGCTGGTTTACAAGTTCTTTCATGGCTCAATGGGTTAACGCACTGTGCGATGTATCATTGAGTCATGCATACAGATCAGCAGGTATAGTGCATTGCTGAGCTAAGTTACTTGTGAATAGCTGCAGTAATGATGGAGATGAGGGCCATTAGAAATTAATCATCATTCGTAGTGATGTAGTGTTAGTCTCCTCCTCTCTTTAAAGGGCTAAAAATAGGCAATCCCAGTACAATGCTCGCCAGACGTCGATTGTGTCACACTGGAAGAATCACAGGTAACAAGATGAACCCAGAAAAGTTTCCATTTGAATCTGGTTAAGAAACACTGCAAATCTGACCCCAGTATTAGGCTGATCCATAGTGAGCAGGTGATTGTACAGCTGGAGGGCATTAAGGAGAGCACAAAATACGACTGAACAGATGAGTCTGAATTTTACTTTCAATTAGTAAGTACAGGGCGGAAAGCCTTTGAGTAAAGTAGCAGCCACTTCCATAAGTTCACGAGGACAGATATCATTGAGCATCCCACTGTCCTCAAAATGCCTACATTTCGATGTTAAATCCTGTAAAACAGTTTCCAAGTGGCAGAATGATACTATATTAAGACTGATAGCTTTTCAAACTTAAAAATCCCATGTAAAATGTGCTTGGGCAATGAGAAACCACTTCACAGTGAGTACCTGTCCGCAGGAAAGCAAAACCTCAAACCTAGTACTAATTGTCAGTTTAATTCGGAAATAGCTGGTGTGCGAATGGAACCATTGACACTGCTGCCACAGGAACTGAACTGTAAAGGCTCTGTTAATATACATGATTCAGGCAGAGCAGATGTTTTACACTCCATCTGATGTGAGTAGGGGATATAATGATAAAGATATAATCAGCTTGACATGAAGGATACAAGTCGTGAAGATGTGATGAAAAAATCCATGTGATGTAAATTGGATAAAACTATCAGGAGGGAATAGTGTGGCTCTCAAGAATGTGCCTGGAGTGCTAAGGATTGGAATGGAGACACAGTAATTCCCCTCACTGAACAAGATGTGATCAAAGAAGTATACAAAACACTGAGACTAAGGTAGACATCTATGTGAGTGAGTGGAAAGAATCAGTAGAGACACAAGTGAATCTTAATGTGAGAAAATGAACATAACAAATCTTAAATGCATTATAAAGTGCAAAGATGACTGTGCATATGCACCCAGCAGGGAGTATCAATGGAAAGATTCAGATGACATATCACAAGCTGCAAGAGTAAAACTCAAGCAGCTTCTGAATATTATTTGAACCCAGAGGCCATGTTAAGGCTTTGAACTCCCTGCTAGGTTTCTGTTCTTTTCTGAACAATAAAAAGTGCTTTCAGTGCAGTTTAACCAGTTTATGAGAATTATTACTGTGGACACTGTCATACTAGATCTTTTACTCAAGAAGGGCTAAAAAAAATTTTACAAAAATAAATTAAATACACTAGGCTCAATAATTCCTCCAGTGACAGATTTTCACTGCCACCCTTTTCCCTTAATACTACCCTGCACTAGAGATTTGCAGGACATGGATTCACATTCATGATTTGTCTCAGAAGGATTATTGGGCATTTTTACGATTCCAAAAAAATGACATTCTATGACGTAAAAGATGCCATATAAAAGTAAATTGCACTGTATTGTAAGTAATTGAGATATGATTACTCAAAAACGTAGAAGGGTTGCCTTTCTGTAAGTTTTGAAAGTTGTTATTATTTCTTATTTCCAGCTTCTTATTTCCAGGATTCCTTGTGGTGATTTTGGTTGTTCATCAATTTCAGATTATATTCTTGCATTTATTATATGGCATGAATTTGTTCCACTTCATGAACTTAAGTTATACACTATTCTGTCCTGTTGTGCTGCTCAAATGATTTAGAAATTAAACTAAAATTAATCCTCAGTGCAACTTGGATACAAAATGCCAGTGGACTATAGAGATGGCATAGCTGTCAGAGACATTGACGTGAGGTTCCAAGAAAATCCTTGTGAAAAGAAGAAAATTAATTTAAACTGAAGAACGACTATATTGGACTATTTACATGCAATTTAAAATTAAATAGGACAGCAGCATTAGAGATATAACAACAAGACTACTTACATTTGATATAACGCCTTATCATGGAGTCGAAATTTCTCAAACGTGTCACAGGATTTACCGTAAAGCGTAGTCGCTGTGCATTTTTTAGGCAAACATTATAGCCAATTTGTGCACAGCAATGTCCCACACAAAAAAGGCCATGAAGTGAATGACCAATTTTATCTGAAGGTCTGTTGGCCAGACACTGGGAGAAACTCCCTTCTCTTTTTGAATGACACCAGGCATCTTTAACATCCTGAATAGACAGCCAGTTTATCGTCTCACCTGAAGGATGGCGTCTCTGACAATGCAGCTTTCTCCCATCATTACCTGGTGT